AAAAATGAGTCAGAGTTAAAAAGAAATAGAGTTAAATAATTATTCGGAGATAAAAAATACAGTTAAAAAATGAGTCAGAGTAAGAAAAAATAATTCAGAGAAAACAAAAAGCAGTTAAAAAAGTTAAAAAAAAATAATAAAGAGTTAAAAAAAATAATAAAGAGTTAAAAAAAATAATATAGAATTAAAAAAATAATTCCTAGTTAAAAACATGTTTAAGAGTTAAAAATAAAAAAAAATAAAATAAAATAGAAAAAATGGAAATAAAAAATTTAAATATTCTTCTTCTAATGTTTTAACAAAAGCAAATTGTTTCCTTCCAACAATCATTGCAAATTTTACCTCATTGTCCTTTATCAAGCCTTGAAAACTCTAATTTACGTAAATTTAACTTGGACCACTCTAATTAAGCTAAATTTATTTCAGTTTAATGTAAGTACAATTCGTGTGCCTTAAATTAACCTTTATTTACTTCCACCTATCGCACTATTCATTGGGGGGTCGTAACACGTTTTAAGAAAATAAATATAGTGCTCCGAAATTACAAAAAAAAATCCTCTCCTTTTATATTTCAAAAAAAAAAAAATAATTTCCCCAAAAAGGAAATTACATAAATAATCAAACTCCTCGAATCTTTTATTTCATACATATTTCTTTTTTTAATCTCACAGTTCAATTATTATTCTCTCCCAATATTGCCTCGTATAATTTCAAACATAAATTTACTCCACTTTCTTTCGAGTTTGATTTTCGAATCACGAAAATTATGATAAGTCGAGAGGAAACGCAATAACTTTGAAGATATAAAAAAGGAAATGAGAAAGAGAAAGAGAGAATGAGAGAGAATAAGAGAAATAAAAAGTGATAAAAAAAAAATAACAAAAAGAAAAAAAATTGAGTGTGAGAGACGGATACAATTAGGTTCGCACCCTTGGGCACTGTTCTTATTCGTGTATCAACTTCTATCCAATTCTGTCTAGTGCAAAACTTGCGATCCGTTTAGTAAACTATAATATACACTAAAAATCGAGAAATAATTCACCGAACACAGTTCATCAGATCAAATTTTAAATTTCTGATTTTTTGCAATATTTATTTCCATAACATATTAATAAATAATAAATAAACAAAATAGACTAAAAATTCACCAATTTGGAAAATAATTAATTATATTTATTTCATTATTGGTCAATTTATTTATTTTATTTATTTAGATATATTATTTATTTAATAATAAAGTATTAAATTAATTAAGTACTTAATTAATAAACGCTTTTCGACTATGAAAAATTTCTTTAGAAATTTTTTATTCTATGAAGAAATAAACAAATAAACAAATAAAAATAAATAAACCAGTGCAAATATGTAAATTAACAAAGTAATTAATTATGTAAATTAATAACTAAATTAATAAAAATAAATAGATTGTCAAGTGAAAATAAAAAAGTAAATTAATAAAATTTTAAATTATCAAATCAATAAACAAAAAAGTCGAAAAAATCGTCAATTTGAATAAAATAATCATTATTTTAAAAGTGAAATATTTTTCTATTTTGAAATTTCATTGTTTCCTTTAATAAAATAATTTTTTTTTACCCCTTCGTTATATTTAAAGTGATATTAGAGTTTCTTTTTTCGAGCAGAAATTGCACTGCCTATATAACCCTATCAATAATTTAATATCGTGAACGTTATGTACCTGTCTCTGTGTACACGCGCCTAAGATCGATCAAAGTCTGTCAACATTTTTCATGTAAACGTCACTGGGATCACGTTCAACTAACCGAACTTATAAATGTATTACAAATTTTAAATGAAAAAGCTATATGCCAATTTCCGTCGTCTATCACCGTCAAATATATATCTATATTTATTTAACTATATCAGATTAATGAAAAAAACTGTTTTAATTAAGTTCCTAAATTGTATTTTTTTTTCCAGTGAACAAATTTTTCAAAAATCTGAAAAATTTATTCACTTTCAAAGTTAAAGTAATTTTATACGTAATTTTTTTTACATGTAACTTGAATAAAATAATTTTTATTTATATAAAATAATAATAATAATAATAATAATAATAATAATAATAATAATAATAATAATAATAATAATAATAATAATAATAATAGATTTTTCTGTTCCTTTATTTTTTTATAAAGAAAAGTATTTGATACAAGAAAAATTATTATTATTATTATTATTATTATATTGACATTATATTATTACTAACAATTATTTAATTGTATATTTAAACAATTAATTTCAAATATTTAATAAACCATTTTTTAAAGATAAATTACAATTTTTGTTCTTTATATTCTTATGATTATAACTATAAATGTAATAATTATTACATACCATCGTTAATGTAACGGTTCCATTTATTATTTTGCAAATTAAAAAATTTTATATTTTCAAATATAAACATTAATTTTTGAATAATTTCAGATTCAAAATTTAAAAAATTCACCTTTTAACTACATAAATTAACTATTCTTGTTTATTATTTACAAAAATGTTAATAACATTTTTCGCAAGAATTCAATTATTTAACAAAAAAGTTTAATGATAAGAATTAAGTTATTTTCAAAAATTTTAATAAAATATTCTTTGGAAGAATTCAATTATTTAAAACAGTAAAATTAGTCGCAGGAATTCAATTATTTTCAAAACAATTTTAATCAAATTTAACGAAAACATTCAATTATTTAAAAAATTTGTTAATAAAATTCTTGTTAAGAATTAAATTATTTTCAATAATTTTAATAACATTCTTTGGAAGAATTTGATTCTTTTTATAAATAATATTTTTCGCGAGAATTCAATATTATTTTCAAAACAATTTTAATTCAATTTTCTCGAAAGAATTCAAGTTATTAAAAAAAAATTTTATAAAAATCAAATATGACTAATTATTTTCAAATTTTTCGATAAAAAAGTTTGCAAGAATTTAATAATTTTCAGTGCATTAATTTTTAAACATCAAAACATTAAAAAAGAAAATTTATTAAAAAATTTGAGAAGCAAAGAAAAATTAACTTCAAACTGCGAACAGATTCAAACACAACAATATTAATTTATTTTTTTTAAATTGTTTGTGAAATTTAATTTCATTTATCATATTTTAGAAAAAATTGTAACCAAAATCTGAATTTGATTAGTCAGGTTGTCCAGCGATTCTTTAAAAAAAAATTCAAGGACTTTTCAAGGTCCAAAATAGTAAATTTTTACTTACTGTCTAAATTTGAATTAGTAAAAATGATTATACTAATTTGATTTAGTGACTGACTTTTTGCTTTTGAATTAGTAAATTCAATTTATTTTACTAATAAATAATCATTTCTACTAATTTTTTTTATGAAATTTACTAATTAAAAAGCAAAAAGTCAGGCTTTAATTCAAATTAATAAACATTTTTACTAATTCAAATTTAGAGATTTTTTAGAATTTCTATTAAAATAATTGATATACGAATTATTGAATTAAGAAAAATTTTTGTAAATAATTGAAATTTTGCAATGAATTTTATTAAAATTTTTGAAAATAATTGAATTACTGCGAAGAATTTAATGGCAAATTTTAAAAATAATTGATTTTTGCCAAAAAAAAATTATACAAATTCTATTTTAAATAATTGAATTAATGTACAATTTTTTTTAAATAATTAAAAGTTTGTGTAAAATTTTTTTTTTTATTTTTATTAAAATTTTCGAAAATATTTTGATTCTTGTGATGAATACTATTATCTATGAAAATAATCGAATTTTGCAATGAATTTTATTAAAATTCCTCAAAATAATTGAATTTTGTCGAAGATTATTGTTATTTATTTATAAAGATAATTGAATTTTTGAACACAATTTTTTGAAAATAATTGAATCTCTGCGAAAAATTTAATTAGTTCTTAAAATAATTGAATTCTTGTGGTGATTATTGTTATTTATGAAAATAATTGTATTTTTTTATGAATTTTCTTAAAATTTTAGAAAATAATTGAATTCTTGCGATAAATACTATTATTTATGAAAGTAATTTAATATTGCAATGAATTTTATTAAAATTCCTGAAAATAATTGAATTTTATTATTTTTAAAGAGAATTTAAATTTTGATGAGAATATTTTTAAATTTTCGAACGTAATTGAATTTCTGCGAAGAATTTTATTAAATTTTTTTAAAAAATAATTAGAATTTTTAAAAGAAATTAATTTAAATTTTTGAAAATAATTGATGTTTGGAGAAGAATTTTGTTATTTTTAAAGATAATTGAAATTTTTGAACATAATTGAATTTCTGCGGAGAATTTTATTACAATTTTAGAAAATAATTGAAATTTTGCAAAGAGTTTTAAAAAATTTTTTGAAAATAATTGAATTTCGAAGACGACTTTTATTATTTTTAAAGATAATTGAAATTTTGCGAAGAATTTTATTAAAATTTTTGATAATAATTAAATTTTGGAGAAGAATTTTTATTATTTATAAAGATAATTGAAATTTTGACGAAAATATTTTTAAATTTTTGAATGTAATTGAATTTTATTAAAAAATTTGGAAAATAATAGAAATTTTGACAAGAATTTTATTAAAATTCTTGAATATAATTGAATTTCGGCGAAAAATTTTTATATTTGTAAAGATAATTAAAATATTGAAGAGAATTCAACTTAAAAAAACATCAAGGAAATAAATCTCATTTTAAAGAATTTTAATTTTTCAAGGTTTTGTCATAAAATTCAAGGTGTTTTCAAGGTAGCTGGACACCTTGTTAGTTTAAAGATTTCTGAAGATAAATAAGAAAAGAACAAAAGAAACACAAAAATGTTAATGAATATATTAATAATTGTTATTAAAAAAATAATTATTTATTTCGTCAAAAAAAAAAATTGAAGTTTTTTGATCTATTAACGCGATAAGAGAGAAGAAGAAGAAGTGGAAGAAAAATATCTTCACGAGTTCATGATATAAATAAAAGAGATAATCAAAAGTAACATTGACTTACTTTGTCAGACTGACTGCAGTACGCCACCTCTAAATATGCAACAGCTGCGTTATTCCAGAATCTGAATCCAATAACATCTGCTTTCTGAAAAGAAAAATCAGTTCTGATTTAATAAAACGATTTTACTACCACGAGTTTACATTTTATAGATATTTTATCAATAAAAGTATTTTTATTAACGTACACATAGTGGAAGAGGGAAATATACAACAAATGTGTAGTATTGTACGTGTCTCTTTTATATCGAAATTGTACAAATACAAGTGCAGTAAGTACCCGTGCAGAAATCGCCACTTTTGTTCCCGATTACCGCCCTGGCCCCGGTCGGGATTTCATGATCTGGCCCCGACTTCGTGGCCCCGACCAGGACCAGACCGGGTTTGCCCAAGGATCTACAAACAGCGCACAATGGGATTTTTTTTACAATTTACTGTTCAAAACTGTCTACAGCCTACAATTCTTAACCGGTTTCAGTATTCTTTATTTTAAATTAAAGGCGAATAAATTCTTAAGACATCCCTTAAGGTCAATTTTTTAGTTCTTAATTGTTTATAATTTTTATTTTCAATCAAAGTTAACAAATTAATACAATTTTTCAAAAAAGGAGGCTTATTTTCTTATTCCGTTGCTGCATATGATCTGAATCAGTTCAAATTAATACAATATGACCACCATATAATTAATAAAACAGAAAGTAATTTATATCAATTGTTATAAACAATATTAATTAACAAATAGTTAACTTTGATTTCTTTCCACTAAAAAATGTTTTTTTTACCTTTTCTTTTTAATTTAAGTTCATTTAAAGAATATTTGCCCTTTTTGATTATAAAATAACTTATTTAAATTGTTATAAACAATATTAATTAACAAATAGTTAACATTGATTCCTATTCCACTAAAAATTTTTTTTTCACATTTTCTTTTTAATTTAAGTCTATTTAAAGAATATTTGTCCTTTTTGATTAAAAAATAACTTATTTAAATTGTTATAAACAATATATTAAATAACAAATAGTTATGTAACTTATGCTCCTGTCCACCAAAAAAATTTTTTTTCACGTCTACTTTTTAATTTAAGTTCATTTTAAAAATATGTGTCCTTTTTGTTTAAAAAATAACTTATTTAAATGGTTACAAATAATATTAATTAACAAATAGTTAATTTTTGTTCCTTTCCACCAAAAATTTTTTTTTCACGTTTACTTTTTTATTTAGATAATGTTAAAAGACCACGGATATATAATATTAAATATTTAAATAAGTTATATTATAAGCAAAAAAGACATATATTCTTTAAAAGAACCTAAGTAAAAAAGAAAATTTGCAACAAAAATTTTCTGTTGGACAGGATCATAAGTTAACTATTTGTTAATTAATGTTGTTTATGACAATTGAAATATATTACTTTATGGGTTTTTAATTGTCTGCTGGTAATATTGGATTAATTTGAACTGATTTAGAGCATGTGCAGTAACGGAATAAGAAAATAAACGTCCGTTTTTAAAAAATTGTGTTAATTTGTTAACTTTGATTGAAATTTGAAAATAAAAATTATAAACAATTAAAAACTCAAAAATTGTCCTCGAGGGATGTCTAAAGAATTTATTCTCCTTTAATTTAAAACAATAGGACAAACGCACCAATTGTCGAAGGTGAACCATTTGTCGATGTTATCATGGTGATAACCAAAAATATTGCCTAAAATGTTAAATTTTTTTGTGGTTATAATATTAACATATTATTTTTGACATTTATAACTCTTAAAAACTCTTAATTGTTTTTCACACTTAAATTGAAATTCCATGTTTAAGGCAAAAAAATAAATTATTATTAATTAATAATTTTTAGTATTATTGTGAATTATTAATAATGAAAAAATTTTTATTATTTTAAAAAATAGTTAAATTATAAATAATATAGAATAAATAATTAAATTAACAATTTTTACCATATTATTATGATAAACATATTAATTTATATATATATATATATATATATATATATATATATATATATATATATATATATATATATATAACATACATTTTTAATAATTTTTCTATAAATAAATATGATACAGTCAATTTATTATGATAACACTGTATATAACGGTCCCATGATTCAAAAGGAAGTTTAAGCGAGGTCGCTTCCAAGCTTGCGTGGCTATGCGGTATGTGTATTCGACTTGCGTCCTCGAGGTCTAGGGTTCGGTCCCCCGTGCGTGCGATATTTTTCCGTCTTAGTTTTAAGTGTTTTGTGTATAATTCTTAATAATGTTACATAAAGTATAGGTTTAAATAATTATTAACAATAATAATAATTATAAATAATTATTAATTTAAATAAGATAGTCTGTCTAAATTAATGAAAGAAAATAAGAAAAATATTTTTTTTAAAAACTTAGTCCAATAAAAGCAATTCTAATAACTATTTACATTTTTAATGACACTCATAAAAGTTTATTTACTACAAAAATATTAATAATAATCATTAATATTGAAGTAAATACTCCCCATTCTTTAATAATCAAATAACAAGCTTTAATATAATAAAATGCAGTCAGTATTGGAATTCTACCTGGGTAGCGAAAAGATCGGGGGAAATCCCATGGCCCCGACCGGGTCCCGACAGGGCGGCCAGATCGGGCAAAGTGCCATGGCCCCGGTCAAAATTTCTGCACGGGTATGTATTATAATAATTTTTTTACATGACCTACATTTTACTGTTATTGAATTTTATAATAAAAGGAAAAAAAATTAATATATTTTTTCAGATAAAAGAATTCTTTTAAGATAAGAGAAAATTCTCTTTAAACAAGAAAAAATATTTAATAAATGTAATAAAATTATTTATATAAAGTTTAAAATTTTTTACAAACCCGTACATAGAAATAAATAAATAAAATATTAATAGAAAATAATTGATAATAATAATGACAATAATAATTATTGTTTTTATAATTGAACCGTCATAATTTAATTGTTTAATTATTACTATAACTTTCAATATAACTATTATAATAAATGTTATTTATTTACTTATTTATGTTTATACATAAGAATAAATTTTTAAATTTTCATTGATTTATTAAAATAAAATAATAAATTTTATTATAATTGACAAATTATGTAAATAATTTAGTTGTTTAACAAATTTGATAATTTCAAAATAAACAAAATAGGAAAATAAAATTTTCCCAGAGCTAGCTAAAAGGAATTTAAAAAAAATTTATTTTATACATAATTTTGTAAATCTGTTTGGTTTAAGTGAAAAACAAAGCTAATTGTGAGTGGAGTAAACCAACATGGTCAGCCAGTGGTAAAAGTTTAAAACGGAGTGACGAGTGAAAACAGTCGTTTTTAGTCAGACGCGAAACGAATAAGAACTGCCTCGCAGTGGAAACACAGTGAATACGGTCAGACACTTGCCAGATATTATGAAATTCAATTAGTTACATTTTCCGTGTAATTAATTTGTTTTTGAAACAATATATATACTTTTTTTTTTTAAAATATTATATTTTTCAAAACATTATTAATTTTCTTGGTAATAATAATTTATTATATCATAAAAAATTTTTCAGAGAAAAAGAAATTAATATTAATAATTAATTATTATTATTTCAAACAGAAAACAATTATTTTCTACTGAAAGTAAAGTTAATAATAATTATTATTATTTCAATTATTTTCATAAATAATAAATTTTTTTTAAGGAATTCAATTATTATTTTTATAAAAAAATAATTCAAAATTCTAGGAAATAATAATTAAATTAAAATGATAAAAATAATTTCGATGAAGTATAGTGACAATATTTTTATAATATAAAATAATGATTTTATCTCTCGGTTATTTATAATTATTATAAAACATGAAGAAATTGATCACTCCGAGTCTTCGACTCGGAGCAATCGATTTCTTCATGTTTTATAATAGTATTATTAAAAGTTATTGAATTTTTAAAGCTTACTGTTCAACAAGAACAAGAAAATTAGAGTAAAAAAATTAAAAAATGAACAAAAATTGAAAAATAGCAAAAAAAAACCGGAAAATTGACAAAAAAATTGAAAGAAAGTCAAACAATTTCAAAAGTTGACAAAGAAAATTGAAATATAGACAAGAAATGTTACAGAATTGACAAAAAAAATCAAAAACGTGTTAAACAAATTACAAAATTAAAAAAAAAAAAATTGAAAAATAGACTAAAAATTAAAAAATTGACAAAAAAAATTGGAAGAGTCAATAAATTTCGAAAACTGACAATAAAAATTAAAAATATAACAAGACAATTAAAAAATAGACAAAAAATTAAAGATTTGACAAAAAAAAAGTTGAAATATAAACAACAAAAATGACAAAATTGACTAAAAATTGAAAAAGAGATAAACAAATGACAAAAGTAAAAGAAAATTGAAAAATACGCAAAAAATATAAATAATTGACAAAAAAAATATAAAAGAATGAAAAAATTTAGAAAATTGTTAAGAAAAATTTAAAAAATCGTTAGTAATATTGAAAAGTACGCAAAAGAATTACATAATTGCAAAAAAAAAATTTAAAAGGAGACAAATAAATTATAAAAGTAAAATCAAAATTTAAAAAATTATAATGGAATTTTTTTAAAGAGTTTTATTAAAACTAAGTATATATTTAAAATAATTGAATTCATCACAAGAATTTTATTATTTTTTGAAAATAATTCAATTCTATCAATTTTCTTGACGAATATATTAAAAAATTGCATTGAATGTAATTTAATTTTGATATAGAATTTTTTTTAAAATATTTTGAAAATAAGTGAATTATTTTTAGAGAATTTTAAATTATTCTTGAAATTGCATTTTATGGAAATTTTTGAAAATAATTAAATTCTTTCATGTAATTTTATTTAAATTTGATTAAAAATAATTTAATTCCTTGCAATGAATTTTTGTATTTATAAAAATAGTTGAATTGTTTCGAAGAATTTATTAAAATTTTACGACATAATTGAAATTTATGAATTTATTTTAAAATATTTGAATTCATCTGAGGAATTCGATTAAAATTGTTTTGAAAATAGTTGAATTCCTGGAAAAG